TTTTCTCTTTACGCTTACAAAATTCTTAGACGAAACTCTGCAAGAATTCTCCCAAAAGCAAGAACTCTCAAAAACTTCTAAGCTCTTTCGACCTTTTCTCTCTTAACATCTAAGGTCGAATCTTCTTTTCTTTATCTTCTGTTATAAGAAATGTTTAATCTATTTTAAGAAATTTGTTCTCTTAAATACATTAAACAATAAAGGTTTTTAATCATTTCTTTCATGGTTATAATCTTGTTTCTTTATACACATTTCACGATAAGCCCTAATCTTTTATGGTTTTTTCAAAATAAGTTTTTACTTGTTCAAAAACTTTTTCTATACTTTTAACCATAAACTCTTGGCTTATTTCTAACAACCTGTTTCCTCTACTTCTTATTAATACAAACAGATGGCTGCCAAGAACGTCAACTTCTCCGTTGACGAGATCTCCATCAAGGCCAACAACCACATTGCCATGTTGGAGATACCTTCCTCTAAGGCGTTTTACCAAGATGCGACTGACTTCCTCAAGCAGTCATCCTTGGGCTACGCTCTCAACCATGGGCCCCTCATGGTCAAAGAACTTCTTCAGCAGCTCTGGCTCACTGCTGAGGTTGTCGAAGTCCAAGATGATGCTGGACGCAAGATGGAGCAGATCCATTTCACTTTCAACCACATGGAAGTGAACTTTGGTGTGTCTACACTCCGCTCAGCTCTTCGTCTTCCCAAGGGTCCCTTCGACAGTGAACCCTCCACCACCGAGATCATCAATTTTCTTGATGCCATTGGCTACCAGTGGCCAATGAAGAAGGACTCCAACGCCCCTCTAAAGTCCTTGACGAAGATTGAGAAGAACATGATGTCCGCTGTCTGGCAATATCTGTTTTCTCATTTTATCCAGTGCATGGGTGGAAAAACTGGAGGTCAAGACCAGGCCTCTAGGATCTCCTTGATCATAGGCGTATCTGCGATTCAGCGTTGCAATATAAATTATACTACGGTCATTTTCGATGACCTGGTGCTCAAGCTGAACAAGCGCCTTCTTTCGATGGTGTTCTCAAAGATCTTTAAAGCTCTTTACCCCAAAGAAGGAAACCTTTCGGTTTTCAAGCTTGGATCCAGGATTCTGGATCACAAGCTGAGGGACAGTGATGTGGCACTATCTTCCATTGTGTCCATCACTACCTCTTCTTCTCAGGTGGCCATGACAAGGGAAACCCCCCCCCCCGCGTTTAGCCAAGCTACCAAAACCCCTTCAAAACGACCCTCTCAACCAACTCTTGGTTCTCCTTAGAGAGCCAAGAAGTCTAAAAAGGGGACAACCACATCACTAGCTGGGGTATCTCAAAAGGGTTCAGTTATTGAAACTAGTCTTATCCCCGAGGCGTCTTCTGTTCACCCTGCCAGCTCTTCAGTGATTTCTCCCATCATTGTCGTATCAGTGGTACCTTCACTAATCACTTCAGTGACCCAAATCACTGAAAGTGTGAATATCAGCGCCGCCATTGCTGAACACCCACGTCTCTTCTCAACCATTTTCTCTTCTCCTCCTTCCTTGGTCTTTACACATGTCCATGATGTATCAGCGACTGTCCTTCCTGATACTGAGAAGCGCACCACTGGACCTGAGGTTGCTCCTCTCGATGCTCCTCTGCATACTGATGTCCATCCTCTCAAGGACATCTTTGCTCACGCCAATGACAATCCTTTAGATGTCACTGATGACCCCTCAGGTATTCCATCTTCCTACCCTTTCTTTTTTTTTTTCTAACCTTGAGCCTTGATACGTACTAAGTATTTAGTACGTAAAGTACCTTTTTATTCTCTTTTAGATAGGTTATTTTGCTTTCATATCCCAGTATTGAGTCATTTTATCTCTTTTATCTGTTTTTAAGTTAAAAAGAATGTGGAACCTGTGTTTGATGGATTTTGACCAAAAACGATCTTATTTTGAACAGATT